GATAAACTGTGCAACATGTATAGTTATCAGTTTGATTTTCACCGCCGCTTAAAGAGTGGCTGCGGCTTTCTATCCCTGTTAAGGATATTGAAGACTGTCTTAGCGCTAAATCCCTTCTCTTGTAGCGCCTTTGTTATCTCTGCAGGCGATACTTCGGACTCTATGCCCTTAAGTACGACTTGCAGGAACTTGCTGCTTTTTAGCTGATACGTATAAAAGTTCTTTTTTTTGTCGGTGAGATATTTTGATAATACTCTGTAATTATCTTCAGACTTCCTGGGTGTTGCCCTTTCCGAGTGGTATTATGTGGAAGTTGTCCTTGCCAATAAGCTCTATAATTTTGTTGACAAGAACGTTGGAACTTTTTTTTCGTATGTAAATTGGCGGGGGCTTAGGCTTCCTTTTTTCGACTCCAGTAGATTCGGCATCATCCTCATAGTCTGCCAAGATTTTAAACGGATTGAGTTCGTGGGCGTTTCTATTGCAGCTATGTTAACATTGCCTTTGATTTGGATGTAGCGATCCATACCAGTCTGCACACCCGGCTTAATATTTTCTTTGTTTTTGTTCTCTTTTTCGGGCAGCGCAGCGGCAGAAGTATTAATGTTTGCGCTGCTAGCTGATGACGTCATTAACCGCGCTGTCGTTACAGTTGCGGTTGTTGTTGTTGTTACGGTTAACATTGTCAAAGAAATTGCGGTGCTAGTTTCTGCACTCTTTGGCTGCAGAGACATCGATGGTATCGACGGGGAGCAAGAACGCGCTCTCTCGCTCTCTACGTTTAAGAATTCGGTCAAGTTTGGGGTAATTGACCGTGTTTAGGAAGAATTGCATTACATTCGGTTGCTTTGAAAGAGAAGTAAGCGTTGTTTCTTTGTACTGAGAGCCGTCTCTCGTCTTGCTCACGTTGACGTTGTGTGCGAACGTCGTTTAGACTCATTGCAATCGAGGTTGAGTTTGTTAGAGATTTTAAGTGTTATGTTTTATATTATTTAATGAAATAATCAATATAAACATTAGCGATTTCATGGCTGAAAGCGTTTTTTCGCGTTGTTGTTGATTTACGAAACCAGTCACTGCTCTTTTTTGATATTATTGAATACTTTTCCCGGAACACAATAAATACACGTCTACATGCGACGAACTAACTTGATATTAGCAGGCATATAGATTCTATTGCGATACAATACAAAGAGGCATAGTTAAAACATTGGTTAAAATAAAATGAAATTATTATTAGGAAACATGTCACGAGAAATGTCTTGTAATATAAGAAAATGTCCCAAGCGCTAATAGTCTCAAAATTGCGAAACATACAAAGACTTCATTGACATAAACAGAAACGCCACTTATGGATTTTGATAGGTTAATTGTGGATAAGATCGGTCCACTGCCCAAATATGAAAAATGAATCAAACATCTAGTTACAGTGATCTGCGATTTAACAGAATATCTTGTTGCAATACCGGTACCGAACAAAAGTGGAAACACACTAGCTAAAGCTTTATGCTAACATTTTATTTTGGTCTTATTTTATGGTCTAATGAAGAAGTTTATTATATTACAGAAAATAACAGAATATACAAAACAGAATATACACAACAGAATATAAAAATTCAATAATAGAAGATTTATGCAAAAATGTAAATATTCAAGGCATAACATTTTTAAAACACCATCAGCACACCATGGAACGTCTGGCCACGCCCACCAACCGAGAGAAACGATAGCCGCGTTCTCTAAAATCGCTGAAATGCTTGTAATTCTATATTAGAAAAAAATTTTTTTTTTAAATTTTTTTTCTGAATGCATAACATTTCGCGAATATTGTGTTAAAGGTTTAGGTCGATCGGAGTAAAACTTCTGAAGTTATGCGCAGAAATGCATTGCCCATGTAGAAAAAATAATGGGCAAACGTTAGGGAGAACTCGTAAAAGGCACAGTTGTGATTAAAAACACAGACTGGAAAGGCTGTGAAGCGAAAAAGCCTGTCTGGAAAAGGTAAACTCACTGCTAAAATGATTGATAAATTGACTGTCAATGCCATTCTACGAAATCACGATTCAGTAGAGAATATGAAAAATGCCATATGGGCTACCTATTATCACTACAGTTCAACTGAGGAGAACCCACAGCACGAGAAATGTCCAAGCGCTGAAGACTCTTGTTGCGAATGGAGAATGGCAGAAAGCTGCAGCTATAGTTTTGACAGCAATCAAGCCTATTTATGTGAATTTGAGCAAGGACGCACTTTTGCTGCGATGCTTCGGCGGTTTCACATAAGATAATAACGAAAGCCTCAATCAATTAATTTGGAAGATATCTCCAAAGTCGGTCAGAGGGACATCTGCAGTTGTTGAAATTGCAGCTAATGTGGCTGATTGTACTTTCAACGAAGGTTCTTTTGCTTTTTTGAGTTTCATGGAAGACATGGGCATCAGAGTCGGGCCAAGTAGCCATGCATGGGCAGGGAACATTGACGCATTGCGGATTTAAAGAGCGGACGAGCGAGCAGAACATTACAGAAAAAACGCACGAGTTTCAGGTAGACAGGTTCAAGCAAAGGAAACGCTATAGTCGAGTGCCGCGACTATAAGATACCCGTTACTGTTTTACAAAATTTGAAGAAAATATTTTGCTAGTGGAAATTCACAATGCGCCACCTATTGTCAGAGGAAGTATGTTGAGTATGCTTATAGTGACGTTGCTGCCCATGTAAGGCCTTATAACCTTAATTTCTTCATAAATAGCGAAATAATGTTCCGATTTGAAAAATCTGTGGTAAATCGATGGATATTAACAGAAATAATTTACACAAGGTCAAACGAAGGCATTCATAATAATATTATAGACCCCACAGTTTTCCGCGGTTTGTGGGCGTTAGAGTGGGCGTGGTCGGATGCAACTTCGTGGCAAGTTGCAGAGGCATCTCTTAAATACGTATTCTTAAGCAACATTTTTTAGCTCTTATAGTTTTTGAGATTTTGGCATTTTTGGTTTTCCGGGTTTGGTGGGCGTTATAGTGGGAGTGGCTTGATTGGAAAAAAACAATTCGCATTGGGAGCATCATAAAAACCTACATGCCTAATCCGAACTTTCTATCTTTTATAGTTACCGAGATATCGGCTTTTCTAGAAAATCCGAAAACCTATTTTTGAACCTTGTGGGCGTATGGGTGGGTGTGGCCGGATAGTAGTACCACTATAAGATGCGCTGGGATCTAAGACAGACGACATGGCTCAATCGACTTCGCTATTGATCCTGATCAACAATATATATACTTTATAGGGTCGGAAACGCTTCCTTCTATCTGTTACATACTTTTCAACGAATCTAGTATACCGTTTTACTCTACGAGTAACGGGTATAAAAATTGCCCTAGACAATCTGGATGACAGTTCCCCCTCTACGGACATGGAATTGACGACTCTGTGTGAGTAAACAAAAATTACAGCGTTTTATATTTGATTTTCGAGAGTCCAAAACTTTAAAATGCTCTTCTGAAAAGTTACCATTTTCAAAGTCGGTGTACACGATCCTGCAAAATCTATATGACGGATCGTGTTGAGATTTTGCACAGTATTTCACTACATAATTCCTCAATCTTGACGATTTGGGTGAAAGTCGGGGTTTTTGACTTCCAAGTGCCTTAAAAAAACGAAAAAAATCAAATAAATAATAACTCGACAGCGTTACCTAAGGAATCTTGTCCTTTAATTTCAGATAATTCAGTGACCAGTTATCGTATACACCGCAAAACGTGTTTTTTTTTTATATTATAATATTTTTGGATGAAATTTTGGATGAAATCACAAAAACCAAAACTGAGCTGAGACTTTTCGTATCGCCAATAAAAATTCTTTTAAAATTACTGATTTTGCACCGAATTAACTATACAAAACCCTCCCTTAATGTGTGGTCAGGATGCTGAAATAAACTTGCACTGCGTAGGTATCTCCTAAATCTGCATGTTAGTTCTTTTGTGTCTTTTAAAGTTCCTGAGATCTCAGTGATCATTATAGATGGACAAATGGACTGACAGACAGCCGGACAGATAAAAGGACGAACAGTCGGACGTGACTAAATCGACTCGGCTATGAGTTGTGATTAAGAACATATTCCTGATCAGTATCGATAGCGAAATCGATTGAGCCATGTCCGTCTGTCCATATGATCGCTGGGATCACAGGAACTATAAGAGATAAAAAGTTGATTAAGCATGAAGATTCTTGGGGTCCCTACGCTGGGCAAGGTTATTTCAGTATCTTTCAACGCCCACAAATAACGATTAAAATTGCTGAAATATCAAGAACTATTAGAGGTAGATAGTTCAGATTAATTATGTATACTCTTGAGATGCCAGCGCATCTTAAGATAAAATCACTATCGCTCAACTGATGGTTTTCGTTTATTGTAGGAAGAGTTTCTGTCTCGATAAAGTTCCGAAGTCAATCAAGCTATGTCCGTCTGTCCTTCCGTTTGTCCGTCCGTATGAACGCTAAGATCTCAGGACCTATAGGATATATAAAGTTGAGATTAAGCACACAGCATCCTGTCCCGCCCACTCTAACGCCCACAAATCACAAAATTAAAAGCGCCAAAAGCTCGAAAGTGTTAGAGCTAGAAAGTTTGGACTAAGTTTGTATAATCTTGAGATGCCATCGCATATGATTATGGTACTATTATCACTCTTACAGAGACATCAGTTAGTAAAAATGTTTTTTTGACCAAATGTTTGTTCATTTTTACTAGCAAAATTATTATTTTAAAGTTGTGTAAGACACTTTCGGGTATAATCGCGGCATTCGACTTTAGCGTTTCTTCTTGTTATTAAATTGGAATATAGAATTGTTTTATTAAAAATAATACCTGAATAGAAATAAGCCTATCAAGTAGAGACTTAAACAAAAACTAAACATAGTGATTAATTGTGATATAGTACGGTAATTAGTCATTTTAAAAATGTATTAAATAACAAAAACCGAATTTCGTAAACATACCTTTAACATGCTTGCACAGTTAAGCGAGCTTCGATCATTGTCTTTATTGTAGGTCGAAAATGGACTATTGTTTGATCCATACCAAGGGTCATTTAACGAATCTCCAGCATTGCCTTCATATCCGTCTATTTCAAGTTTATAATAATCTGCCTCTGAGTGTACTTTAAAATGTGAATACTGGGCATAACTAAAAAAAATGAAATAAAAGGTATTTGGATTAAATGATGAATGTTCGAGTACATAGTCAATAAAAGCAATTTATATAAAAAATAAATTTGGAGCAGGGTATTGTACTTAAAATAATAATGATCCAGAATGACCCAATAAAACATATTCTTCATACGCATCAATAGCCGAGATCTAAGGAAATGGTTTACAGATTGTGGCTGTACGCATGTTATATGAACATACATATATGTAAAGGGTGCTTTTTAGAGGAATAGAACTTTAAATTTCAATAACACAACGACTTGCTTTTTTATTATTGAAAAGATAATCTTGTGGCATAACATTTTAAATATGATTTTTTGCATATGACCGCCATGTCTGGCTCGGATGTAGTCCAACCTGGACGTCCGATTTTCGATGACTGTAACGTTCTGGCCATCATCGTTTTTGAAGAAGTACGGAGAATGATTCCGCCAGCACATAAAGCGCACCAAACATTCCGTTTTTTTTTGATGTAACGGTGTTTTGACATACACTTGAAGGTTAGCTTCACTCCAAATGCGGCAGTTTTGTTTGTTGACCAGAACCAAGAACTGCGCTTCATCGATTTTGTCGACAATAAAATGGACGTAGCTAGCAATACGTGATCCGCACGGAACCATTTTTTTCGAAATAAAACTGCACCATTTGCAATCGTTGTTCTGGCGTGAGTCTATTTATGATGCCAAACTATGCCAAACCAAACTGAGAATAAATCACTTCACAGCCGTTAAATTGGTCGCCATCTTGAACAGTAATGCCAACTTAAAGTTCTATACCTCTAAAAAACACCCCTTCCATACATATATGAGATTATAATATAGCAAACAACCGGTTCTAAACTTCACCAACCCTTTTGTGTCGTACTCACTGAAGTCCTCAGAACATAGTATTCTCTGTCTTACTCAAGACTCTTGATCTTATCTTTACGATCGGAACATACTCAGCAGCAAAGCGTCTCTTCCTCTGCTGCCGTTCCTTTCGCTCAATGTCATCTATCAAAACAAAAGCGTGTAATTCTCCGAATTCAGATTGCCCTTGTAAATGTACTCGCCAACGAATACTAGGGATCCCGCTGCGACATATATAACCTTTATTAAACATTGATGCATAACAACTCGTTTTCGCATTCGTGCGTTTGAATACATGTAAAAAACTCTTCGTCAGTTTTGAGTCTTTATGATTAAACTGGGCGTGCCGTATCAAATACTTCACATCAACTTTATCAGAAAGCCAAAGTTTAGGGCACTACTGACACTGATAACCCACTTCAAAACAATTAAAGCACGTTCCATCCGTTCGGTTTGAGTGATCACAGTCCGTGTTCAAGTATCCAATTCGCATTTAAAGCAGCGTGTCTCTCGGAGGATTGCCGTTTTCTGGCTGATTTCAGTTGCACTGATTGATAGCTTTTTGCAAAACTCATTAAATGAAGTACAATAGTAAAGAGGGGCAGCGTACTCAGATCTATCACCGACACCGCATAGTGTAAAATAACTCAGCATTGACTCTCGTCCTCCAAGCTTACGGAGGATAAGATTGGACAAGTCGTTTTTGACGGCTAGGCAGAAAAACATACGGCGTTCGGCAAAGCTGAAAAATATACGACAGCCTTCAATATTTTCTATAACATTCTCACTTCCTGTCCGCTCCTAATGTAATATATTTTGTATATTTTTTTTTTTTCAGAGAGAAACACAATTATCGTAATCCTGTCAATTCTCCCGCTTATATGTTGAAGCAAATGATATAAATACTGGATGTAAGCCAGCCATAAGTAAGTCACAATAATTGCGCTCTACAAAATCAAACATTCTAGTCGTCAGTCTGAAATGGAAAATATACGGGATGAGTGGAATGAGCTTGGCGCATTATCATTGCCAGTCATAAAGAGTATAAAAAGTATGCCATTTGGTCAAGAATTTCAATAATAAATGATGAATAAAAAACATGGTTCGGTGATAAGATTATGCTAACTTGCGAGGACTTTGTGACCTTTTTACCAGAGCGATTTAGCAGGTTTCCAATAGAAATTCAATTCAAATTTATAAAACGAAAGGCTTCAGGAGATAATTATACCCTACATTTTTTACAACACAATTAATAAAACAATGAATCACTGTTGTTAAATAAAACTATCTATTGAAAACATTTTTTTGAGTATATAGCTTCGTAAATATGGCGCATAACACTGAAAATCGTGTGGCTAGTGAAATACGTTTTTGTGACATTTGCAATCAAAATGTCGCAAAGATTAGTTGGTTGCATCATTTACGCACCAACTTATACAAAAAGTTATCCGTTACAGAAATAATTGATAATGTACGATGTATAAGAAGTGCGTTGTGCTATCGTATTGAAACGTATGTAATCACAAATCAGATAAAGGAATGCTTGGACATTTCATTATTTCAACAATCAATCAAAGAACAAGATATTAATTTGGTACAAAACGCACAAAAAAAACATCAATATAAAGTTTAATTTCGAACAATTTTGTAATTATGTTTTAATTAAAGGGAGTGAGGATCATTGTCCATTCACTCTAAAGTCGTTCCAAACAAAAATGCAAACCATGTGTAACAATGTTAATCTAAATGAAACAATCACCGAGTTATACATTGAATCGAGTATAATAAATAAAAATAATACTTTATTAAATTTTAGTGATTTAATGTTTCTAACACCGGTTGATAGCATAAAAACAAGAGAGAACGCTATAGTCGAGTGCCACGACTATAATATACCCGGTACTCAGCTCTTGAGTTTCCAAACTAGTCATAAGTTGGACCACCCCATGTTCCCAAAATTTTTTCCATTGATTTACGTTTTAACAATTATATTATTATTATTATGTAAAATATTATATATTATTAATAAATTAGTATTTTTGTAAATAATAATTAATAAGACTAAATAATTTTTTGTGTTTTTTTATTTTTTATATATTAGGCTTTCTTTTGTTAATAATAATAAATTAGGCATTCTTTTACAAACTAGACTTTTTAAATATTTTTGCTTTTTTGTTTTTATTTCTGTTTGTAATATATGATGATTTTTTGTTAATAATAATTCTTAATTAATTCTTTTACTAACTATATTTTTTTTTAAATTTTTTTTAATATTATACGTTAGAATAAATTATAATAATACAAATAGTATGATTAAAATAATAATAATAGTACATTTATAATAATTAACTTAGATGCATTTACTAACTAGACTTAAAAAAAATTTGCCTTATCACTGTAGTAGTGATTTTGAGATACGATTTTTAAGTTATTTATTAACTGACTAACTGCCTCAGCTACGGTAACCAATATATCACTGTGGTAACTATAAGTAGTCTCAAATGTGCGCGCAGTGACCCTATTATCAAATGTATTTGAAAAACCCCAATAATTATGAGTATTGCAATTCGTTGTTGACGAATTCAAATCTAATACAGAACGAAAACCTTTCATTTGAACTAAAAAATCATAAATTCTTTTACAGCAGCCAGAGATGGAGTGAAGGCATAAATTAAAATCTCCTAGCACTAAACAATTGTTATTTAAAAACCGAATGCCGCTGAAATAAATCCATAAGTTCTGTCTCAAACGGATAAGTGGGACTTTTAGATACAACAAAAATCCCTAAAGATCGATACTTAACTTAAACTCAAACACTGGAGAGGCTAAATTTGAAAAATTAGCAAAAAGTCGACCGCTTGTGCAAAGACTAACATTCTTATTTGTTACGAATAAATACGAGAATGCCTCTTTTCGGTCGAGCTCCACAACATAAAGTAATGCCGCAATTGTGGTTGACCACCACTTTGATGTATGTAGCTCCTTGACTCTTGTGAAGAGTTATAGCTTCTGGTCTGGTTTGAATTAATTTAAAAGCTTTTAATAATCTTAAAAATTGGGGTCCATGAAGGTTATTGTCTATATCTGCACTTTGATCGTTCTTTAACACCTATACTTTCATCTAAAAATTGTATCCAAAGAATATCCGGAATATCCGTTTACAAGGCCATCGGATGTTTCATCATATCTATTGCATTTCTTTGCGTTCTGTGGGAATTGAACTGAGATTCTCTATATTGTATCGATCTGTGACCTAATTATTGTCAAAAAGATGAATTTGGAAATTCACTTTCATCGTAAACCTTCAGACGACATTTGACCGGGCGCCATGTTGTTAAGTGTATCGCAAAGGATTGGTCATCTCGCTGTCGCATTATCTCTGTGAGTTCGAAAAACCTAAAAGGACTCCAAAGATAAAATCCAAATATAGCACTGTATAGATCATGCGACGGGGCCTGGAAAATCCAACGATCAACTACTGGCCGTAATTGTCTAAGATCGCCGAACACGATAACCGAAACACCCCTGAAGGGAGACTTAAGCTCTCCTCCTACAGGAAGAGAGAACATGGAATGAAGAGTTGAGCCTGTGGGAGCACACAATGAAATCTTAACCGAAGTTGGGTCGCATCCTACTCTTTTATTATACCCCTTAGAAAGAGATTGAAACAAAGTCGATATAAGTCTACTTTTGCCGACTCCCAATCCGCCTCCTAAGAAGTCGTAAACTACAGAATTTTTTTTGCATTATGCAAAACATGTGTTATGTAAGTTTTTTGTCTAAAATTAAGGGATCTAACTAAGGTTGCTAAGTTTTCAGGGAAAATAATTGGCGGGGGCTTTATAACTCTGATATTGCTATCCGGTTCTACATCTGAAACATTGTTGTCTAAGTTTAAGACATTAATTTGAGAAGAAGTTTCTGAAAACGCTAGGACCCTAAACTTCTCATCGATTGCGGCCTCCACATTTTCCTCGGTATTACTGTCTGCCTCCATGCCCTTATTTCCATTAGATCTACCTGCTCATTTATTCAAGGAGCATAGAGCATAACTAATGCTCTGAAATAATTTGTGTTGATGTTAAAAGGGCTATACCGAATTATACTTTTCTTATTTCTTTCCCTAATA